ATGGTTGAAGTTCACCTTCTTCTACAGCAGGGAAGGGAGATACCTATCATTTTTTAGGTAAAACATAAGCATTTAGAAAATAAAAGCACTGTGTAAATTTCAAATAGATTCCCTCCGTCTCATAAAAATAGACAATTTAAGAGCATTGTCCATGTTTTGGTGTATTAAGTTTAATCCCAAGCTTCATTTGTATTTAAAAAATATATATATTTTAAAATATATTTTTATTGATTTCAGAGAGGAAGGGAGAGGGATAAAGAGATAGAAACATCAGTGATGAGAGAGAGAATCATCCCGCAACCTGGCATGTGCCCTTGACTGGAATTGAAGCCAGGACCCCTCAGTCTGCAAGCTGAAGCTATGGGACGCGCCTTCACCAGGGACAAGGGCTCGCATTATTATTTTTTCTTTTAGAGAGTGAGGAAGGGAGAGGGAGAGAGAGAAACATCAGTGATGAGAGAATCATTGATCAGCTGCCTCCTGTATGCCCCCTACTGGGGATCAAGCCTGCAACCCAGGCGTGTGCCTTGAACAGGAATTGAACTGTGACCTCCTAGTTCACAGGTCAACACTCACCCACTATCAGGTTCCTGGATGGGCTGTGAGTAGTTGGTGAATGCTCAGATTTGTATATGAATTATTATTTATGTGAATTTTTGTAGGCACGAGGATATAGCTTTTAAGAGATTCTCAAAAGTGATCTCATATCCCAACATGGTAAGAATCACTGTATTATAGGAATGCAAACTAAATAATGGTCACTGTGTATGTACAATTAAAAAAATGTGACCAGGTGGACAGAGAGTGCAGAATTGGGAGAGGGGATGCAGAATATACTGTGAAGGAAATGAACAAATGCCAGCCCAGTGTGCAGACAGGGAGAAGTTAATACCAATGATATAATCCAGAGATCCTCTTTATCCATTTTGTTTAAAGAGAAGTCAATAAGCTATTAAATAATATTTTAATTAAGAGCATGGTTTTAGTCTGACCAGAGCGGCTCAGTGCTTGAGCATTGACTTATGGACCAAGAAGTCACGGTTCAGTTCCCGGTCAGGGCACATGCCCGGGTGGTGGGCTGGATCCCCAGTTTGGGGTGTGCAGGAGGCAGCCAATCAATGATTCTCCCTCATCATGATGTTTCTGTCTCTCTCTCCCTCTCCCTTCTTCTCTGAAATCAATAAAATATATATATTTTTAAAAAGAACACTTTTAAAACAGACCTCCATGTGAGGCTGGTGTACAACGCAATCCTGAGTGGATCTGACTATTCCGTGTTGAGTGGTTACGGCAGCACGAAAACCATAGTCACTGATAAACAGGATTTACTGTTTCAGAGACTTTGTAATAATAAAACTATTGAGTTTTCTTATTTTTTTTATAATGTCCTAATCAAATTCTGTATTCATGGTCAGGATAGAGAACAGCACTTCCATTGATCTAATTTGGTTCTGCTTAAAGTTTGTGCTGGTTTTCCTGCGTAGAGCGGCGGCCACTCCTGTGATACAAAGAACCCAGCCTGCTTGTTTGAGCGGGGATTCTAGACTGGGCAGTTACAGCTAGATGAGACATTGGCACGGCACATGGGCATGTGGCAGGCATCTAGACAGGGACTGGCAAACTTTTCCTGTGAAGGGCCAGATAGTAGATATTTTAGGCTTCGCAGGCCAGATGGTCTCTGTTGCTACTACTCAGCTCTGTTCTTATAGCATGTTAGCAATCTAAGACACATGTAAACAAATGGGTGTCCCAGTACATCTTCACTTACACACAGAGGCAGCGGGCCAGTCGTTTCTGCAGTCCTGATCGAGAATCACATGCCAGTGTGGTTCTCAGTTTGAGGACCGGAGTGCCGTAAGATTAAAAAAAGAGTAAGTTAGTGGTTTGAAACTTACAATGCATTGTTGAAGCAGCATTAGAAGTAGTTGCTATGTAGGAGGCCCATTTTACATTTCAGGCAGCTGAGCTCTATGCTGCCTCATTTCTGGAGACCTCTACACCGCTGGAATGTGAGGGCATTCGGAGTGAGAAGGGAAGGAAAGGCTGAAAGCCAGGTGTTGTCGTGTTGGAGCGTAAGACTTCTGGATTTGAGAAGAGGAGCGGTTCCCGATTGCAAAGATGCCCGAAGGGTGCCCGCCGTGGGAGTGCTGGGTGCCGGTGGCATGGAGGTGAAGGACGCTGATGTTGAAGAAGAGGTCAGGACGCCACGGAGGGAGAATGGTTCTGATTGTGGAAGTGGCAGGGGCTTTCCCCTCTTACTCCTGTCTCCGGGCAGTGAGAAGGAATTTTCCATTCTTTTCATTCTTGGTTTGTATCAGACCCCCCCCGCCGCCCCCCCCCGCCCATGTTTCCAGGAGAGGGAAAGGCCAAGGGGAAACCTTTGTAGTAAGTGGAGGCAAAGGTAGGCTCTTTAGGTTAGGGATGGGGGATGAAGATTGAGAAGGAATTGGGGGGCTGTGGTGAGTAGAGTTTTCTTTTGAGTCTGTATACTTGTTGCCCTGAAGTTGGAGAGGATGGGACAGAGTAGGTAGTTTCACATGCTCCTCTTGTTGTGTGGCCTCAGTGGGAAGCATAACACTTTCTTCACATCACCTCCGATAGGAGGGAGATGAGTTATAGAGGTAGCTTCTAGTGTATATGTTTCTTTGGAGGAGGGAAGATATATTTTATTTATTTTAAAATTGTATTTATTAAATTGATTGGGGTCATATTGGTCAACATGAACATATAGGTTTCATGTGTGGGTTTCTATGTTAGAAGATCCATATATTGCCCATATGCCCACCACCCAAAGTCAAATCTTCTCCTGTCACCTTATATTAGGACCCCCTCCCCCCCTTTCCCTTTGGCAGGCACTGCTGTTGGTGTGTATACGTTTCAGTTTCATATCCCACACTTGAGGCCCGATGCACGAAATTCTTGCAAGGCTAGGCCTTCGCAGCCTCGGCCCTTGCAGCCGCCCCAGCTGCTGCCTCGGCCCTTGCAGCCCCTGCTTCGTCTGGAAGGCCATCCAGAAGGTCATCTGGAAGGTCATTCAGACTGTTGTTCTGCTATTCGGCCATTCGGTCAATTTGCATATTATGCTTTTATTATTATAGATATGAGTGAAATCATATGGTTCTTAGCTTTTTCTATTTGACTTATTTCACTTAGCATAATGTTCTCAAGGTCCATCCATGTTGTTGCAAATGGTGCTATTTCATCCTTTCTTATGACTGAGTAATATTCCATTGTATACCTCTGTATATGTACCACATCGGGAAGATATGTTTTAACCTAAGAGTAAAGAGTTGAAGCATCGAACAGGACTGGGTCCATTTGAAAAGGTACGGTGGTAGAGAAATAGAGGAGACTTTGGGTGTAGAGAGAAGAGGCAGTTTCCTCCTATACAGTTTGGGAGGTGTATACCCTACGAGGAAAATGGATTATATTACAGGTGGTATTTGCAAAGCAGGGCTGCCTGTACTTAAATTGCCAGATAAAAAGAGCTATATATTTCATAACTGGGTACTAAGGTGCTTTTTGAATATGTCATAGTGATATTCTTGCATCACAGAAACTGAAATAGAAGTGGCTTTGTAGGGTTGTGAACAAATTAGACATTGAAAAAATATTAAGTTCCTGAGGCTCTATTACACACAGTCTTAATTTATGAATTTATATCTTTAGGTTCAGCCAGAATTTGGAACTTTTTATAATTTAAATGAGCACTATTTTGCTTTTAAGGTTTGTTGCCACTGTAAGTTAGAAACTTAGGGAGTAGGATTTCTTTCTTTAACAAAAGTATTTTGTTGATTTCAGAAAGAAAGGGAGAGGGGGAGAGAGAGAAATATTAGTGATGAGAGAGAATCATTAATTGGCTGCCTTCTGCACAACCTCCTACTGGGGAGGTTGCAACCCGGGCATGTGCCTAACCAGGAATGAAACGACTACCCCCTGGTTTTTAGGTCAGGGCTCAACCACTGAGTCATGCCCGCCAGGCGCGAGAAGGGTTTCCTAATGGAGTCTCCTTAGGGATCTATGCTCAGGCTTAGATCCAGAGGAAACTTTTATACAGGAGTCTCCTGTGTGTTACTTTGCTTTTTGAGAGAGTGGAAGTAATATTGACTTGGAGGTTGTGATAAGAGCATTTCTAAATCTTTATTGATAGTCTTTATTTGTTGAGATATCATTTTGCTGGTTTCCTTTAGCCTATTGAAAACAGTTGAATTAGTCTGTCTAGCAAGTCCAATGTCTGTGTTTCCTCAGGGACAGTTTCGGTTAACTTCTTTGAATGGAGCATCCTTTCTTGTTTCTTTGCATGCTTTGTAATTTTATTGTGTCGTGGACTGGACATTTTATTATTATAATACTAGAGGCCTGATGCACGGAAATCGTGCAAGGGGCTCGGCCTTTGCAGCCCCTCGCAGCCTGGGCTGGCCTCGCAGTCCCGGCGAAGTCTGGAAGTTCGTCCGGATGGCCGTTCTGCTGTTGTCTCATTAACACATTAGCTCTTTATTATATAGGACAGTAACACTAGAAATCAGATTCTTCCCCCTCCTGAGGGTTCCTTTCTGTTGTTTATGTGTGTCATCATTGTGTACTTGTTTAGGGACTTTTCTCAACGAGTTTTTGTAATGACCGTATTCTTTGTTGTGTGTGGTCTCTAAAGCCTCTGTTCCTTTAGCTTGTGGTCAGGTGGTATTTTAATAAATTTCCTTGAATGCTTGAGCCAAGAAAAAATAAGGAGTTCTCCCAGGCTTTGTAGATTGACTCCGTGGTGGCACTCCTTCCGTGCTTCGCCAGGTTGCTTATGACTCTGCCCTCGCCTCACTGCCTTCTGGTTCTGAGTGTAAGAATTAGCCAGGGGCCAAAGTGTGGAGTCTTCTCATGTCTTTTCTGAGCACAGGGTCTGCCCCAATTCCCAGGCTCATGCACGGAGTAGCTTCTGAACGCCCCAGTTCTCCAAAGAATCTCACTCCCCACATTTCCCCCAGGCTATTGGTGTATCTATTGTTTGCATTTACTCTAATGTTTTGACTCAGCCAGCAGGGCTCATATTTGCCTTTCAGTGTTGTGTAGAGCCTTCTGTGGAGCTGCTTTCTTGCTCTGAAGGACTTTTGTGTTAGGCATAGGGTGATTTTCATACCATGTCCTATCGATTACTCTGTGTAGTCTTGTCTTTAGACATTACTCATTGATCCTCTGAATCACTTGCGCTTCCCCAAAGATGCCATGCCATTTCCTGAACCTCCAAGTCTTCACATATACCTCTTCCAGGAATACTGTTACATGCTCTTCTTTTTATATGTATTTTTAATATCTATGCCAGTAAAATTTGATAATATTCAGCTTAGGATTTTTGTATGAGGGATATTTATAATTTTTATTTTTTCCTTGTTTTGGTTTTGTCAAGTTGTACTCTAAAAATAATTTTTGCATTCCATCTAAAATGTCAAATTTATTGGTATGAAGTTCTTAATATATTATTCTTTCTGTAGCATCAGTAGTAATGCTCCTCATTTCCTTTTTGATAATGGTAATCAATATTTTTTCCTTGAGTAGTTTTGATAGGGGGTTATTAATTTACTAGTCTTTATAAAGCCAACTTTTAATTATATAAATTTTCTTTATTATAAGACTGTTTTCTGTTTCAGAGGTTTCTGCTTTTATTATTCCTTTATATTTTCTTGTTGTTTAATTTATTCTTTTTCTAGTTTTTTTGAGTAGTAATTGATTATCAATTTTCTAATGCATACATTTAGAACTATAAATTTCTCTCTAAACACTGATTTAGCTTCATTTTATACATTTTGATGTGTTGTGGCTCTGGTATTCAATTAAAAATATTGTCTAATTGTCCTTGTGACTTAAAAGTCTGTTGCTGAATTTCAGACATGAGGAGCGTGAGCATTCTGGCAGTTCTAGTACCACCTGAAGCCAATTGTAGGTCTCGAGGTTTCCTGTCACCCGGATGACTCGTAGCTAGGCTGCAGGCCACCTAAGGGCTAGCTTACCTATGGCGCACCTTTACCCCAGCAGCAAGTCACTGTGTCCAGTTCAGAGTGCCTTGCTGTTTGTTCGAGTCCCACCGTTTGTGGGCTGTTGCCTCCAACTTCTGCCCCTTCCCTTGTTGAGGCTGCCAAGAGCACTCAGCCCTTGGCAGTGTCTTCTAAATAGACAGATTTCTCCCCAGCAAAAGTCGCTTTGAATGCCTGGAATTTGCAACTTCTTGATCTTGGCTTGGCAGATCTTACTATTTTGTTACTTATAGCATGCTTTTAAGATTTTAAAATTGTTCCTTAGCTTTTTAAATTGTCCTCAGTGGTGGGTTTGTCCGAATTACCTCATCTGATATTATTGGAAGTGAAAAATCAGAACCAATTATTTAACCTCTTACTTAAAACTGTGCTTTCGTTTTCTCATCATTAATATGGGATTAATAATTACTCACTATCTCTTAGGGTTTGGGGGATTTTTATTTTAGTTTTAAATATATTTTTTTGATTTCAGAGAGGATGGGAGAGGGAGAGAAAGAAACAGGAATGATGAGAGAGACGTATTGATTGGCGGCCTCCTGCATGCCCCCAACTGGGGACTGAGCCCGCAACCTGGGCATGTGCCCTTGACTGGAATCAAACCCAGACCCTTCAGTCTGCAGGCCAACACTCTCTCCACTGAGCCAAACCAGCTAGGGCAGGTTTGGGGGTTTTTAAAAATGAGGTCATACATTATGCGCTTATAGTAGTATCTGACATGTAGAAAATGCTCGATTTATTATTTCATTAATTTGAGAATATTGCAATTTGTTTGTTGCTCTTCAAAAACTTTTCAAAGCTTGAACTAGCCGCCTTCTTGCCCAAAGTAAGCTGGCTGGGATTATGAAAGATTTACAAATAACATTCATATTGATTGACCCTTCTGTCAGCCCCGATTTAGGTAGATAATTTTCCCCCCTAATGTTTTTAAGACTCTATAATATAAGGAAATTTTAATTTTATCTAAAACTAGATAATGACCCTTATATCTGTGTTGTATATATGTATGTGTATGTGTGTATGCATATGTGAATATGTGATAAGCCCTGATGTGTGTATGTGTTTTGTGTTTATATGCATACTAGAGGCCTGGTGCATGAAATTAGTGCATTTGGGGGGGGGGATGGAGGGGTCCCCTCAGCCCAGATTGCAAGACAGGGCAGGCCAGGCTGAGGGACGCTACTAGTACACAATTTCGGCCAGGGAGGGATGCAGGAGGTTGGCCAGCTGGGGAGGGACCCTGGGAGGGCTCCAGGGTGTGTCAGCCTGTCTGGCTCAGTCCGGATCAGCTGGGCCCCAGCAGCAAGCTAAGCCACCAATCAGAGCGTCTGCCCCCTGGTAGTCAGTGCATGTCATAGCAAGCAGTTGAATGGCATTAGCACAGGGGTGGGCAAACTTTTTGACTCGAGGGCCACAATGGGTTCTTAAACTGGACCGGAGGGCCGGAACAAAAGCATGGATGGAGGGTTTGTGTGAACTAATATAAATTCAAAGTAAACATCATTACATAAAAGGGTATGGTCTTTTTTTTTTTAGTTTTATTCATTTCAAACAGGCTGGATCCGGCCCGTGGGCCGTAGTTTGCCCACGGCTGCCTTAGCATATCATTAGCATATTACGCTTTGATTGGTTGAATGACCTACTGGATGACCGGACAGTTAGCATATTAGGCTTTTATTATATCGGATATAAATATATAAAGGCTAAATGGGAAGCTATTGTAATTACTTAAAACTAGAGGCCCAGTGCATGGATTTTTGCACTGGTGGGGTCCCTCAGCCTGGCCTGTGGGGTTTGGGCTGAAACCGGCTCTCTGACATCCCCCGAAGGGTCCCGGATTGTGAGAGGGTGCAGGCCAGCCTGAGGGACCCCACTGGTGCACAATCAGTGCCGAGGAGGGGCTGTGGGAGGGCTCCAGGGTGTGTCTGGCTTTCTGGCACAGTCCCAATCAGTTGGACCCCAGCAGCAAGCTAACCTACCAGTCAGAGCATCTGCCCCCTGGTGGTCAGTGCACATCATAGCGACTGGTCGAAGAGTTGGACACTTAGCATATTAGGCTTATATATAGAGAGATATGGTCTTGGTAAAATAATTGGGCTGAGCTAAGGAGAACAAAATGAAGTAGAATTGGGATCCTGTTTTAAATATTTTTAAATTCTGAAAAATCATATAGACAGGAGAAAATGATAATAAAAACAGGTAGCCAAAATCAGTAAGCCTAGTGACAGCTACTTTAGCAATACTGGTGCATAATAAACAAACACAGCTAACAGTATAGCTCTGAAGGTAGCATGCACATATACTATTGCTGTATTCCAAAGATCTGTATTTTTCAGTGTATTTGATTTTCCTTCTTGCCTCCACCTAATTTTTGTGCAGCGGAAATTTAACTTAATCTATTCTGTGTCAACATTCAACCCATCAGTACAGTGTTCAGTCTTGCAGTACATTTTTCCACCATGTAAAATGAAATGGCCTTAATATATTAAGGTTTAAAGAAAGCCAAAATAAAAAGATCGAGAGAAATATATGACAATTTGAAAAATTTTCTAAGTTGTAAATAACTTCTTTTTTGACAAAAATGCTATATCCCATTCCGGTAACTTAATGTCTTTTAAATTTTCTTGTGCTGCTATATGTCTTAAAGTTACTTTAAGGTAATTATTTTCATGATTTTGTTTTCTAGGTTAACAGAACCTTCTGGATATTTAACAGATGGTCCAATTAACTATAAGTATAAAACTAAATGTACTTGGCTAATTGAAGGCTAGTAAGTATACAATCTGGGTATACTTATTTTATTCAAAAATGATAAAGAAGATGTCATATCAATGTTAAAGCAGTAAAGTATAACAACTTTAGAGTAATAGAGGTTATTTAATTGCTTATTATTAGAAAAACAGTACCAGTATTCACGATATTTTTATGAGCTTTACAACTTTTAGATATCACATTTAATAAAAGTTACAATACTTATCGCTGTGATAATAGTTTAATTTTTACATGTATTTTATTTTTTAAATACATATTTTATTGATTTCAGAGAGGAAGGTAGAGGGAGAGAGAGATGGAAACATTAATGATAAGAGAATCACTGATTGGCTGCCTCTGGCACGTTCCCCACTGGGAGATGAGCCCCCAACCCGGGCCTGTACCCTCACTGGGAGTCGAACCATGCCCTCTTGGTTCATAGGTTGATGTTCCACTGCTGAGCCACATTGGCCAGGCTCCTTTTTGCAGATATTTTATTGTTGATGTTTGTTAATGTGTCATTTTAAAGCAAGCGGGCATGTTTTTGGCTTCTTTTAAACATCTTGTTATAGAATTTGAAGATTCCATAGAAAGTAAAAATATCCCATGCCAAATTATACCATTGATTTATATCAATCAGCATTTTAGTTGTGAGGGTGTTAAAAAGAGAACGTTTTATAGAAAAGAGTGAACTTTCCTTTTAGAGGTATTTTTCAGAAGTTAGGGCTTTAGACTGAATTTATCTATTTAAACTTGGTGAATGGATCAAAAACGAACCGACATGAATTGTTTGAACAATATTATGATTTTTAGAGAGTGCCTTTGGAAAACTGGCAGTTTGGGGTATACTTAAGGAGTTTTTCAGAGCCTAAAAGTTATTAATTCCCTGTGCACCTATGGTCTCCTTTTGTTCCCTTGTTAATAGTATTTCATATTGAGACCTTTCAGTTAAAATGTGAAGACCTTACTAGGGCCTCTGGTTAAGGTTTGTGTAGAAATCACAATAGTTATTTCTTGAGTGTTGAATTTTAAAATTCAACTTTATTCAAGAACAGTGTGCATAAAATAAAATGCACGTATATTAAGTATACAGTTCAATAGGTTTCAATAATGTATGCAGTCTATTTAACATCCACCTTAAGAGATTGAACATTCCATGTGGACTGAACCTTTAGAAAATGATGATACATACACATGGCCTGGTAGTGGATTTTGAAGTTGCATGTCTCTTTTATAGTTCATATGTGACTGCTTATCAGTCTTTTACACTGACTTAAGAATTTATAGCAAAATTATCTGTAAATGGACTGTGCTTTGCATATTATACATTAATTTTAAAATATTTTATTTCCTTTTAGTCCAAATGCAGTGTTAAGATTAAGATTCAATCATTTTGCTACAGAATGTAGCTGGGATCACATGTATGTTTATGATGGAGATTCTATATATGCACCTTTAATAGCTGTACTTAGGTGAGTACTTATGTTTAATTGAACTTACAGCTTTAGGAAAGTAACTACATATAATTTATTAATTTTAAAGATATACTGTAGTCCAAAATAAATTTCCAGAGATGTTGACCATCAACTTAGGTGTATCTACACTAATAGAAGAGAAAAATGGTAATTGGCGTACGATGCTACCCTTTACATTGGCTAATCAGGGCTATATGCAAATTAACTGCCAACTCAGATGGCAGTTAACTGACAACAAAGATGGCGGTTAATTTGCATATGTAGGCACAATGCAGGGA